AACATTATATTATGCATAGGTACATTATCCAACAAAGTAATTACTAGCTACATATATATATTTACATTTGAATTTAATTGATTAAACATAAATTATATTTAATTTTAAATTAGTCGCATTTAAATAACATTTAAAATTCAGTTCCTCCATTGCACTAGCCTAATTTCAAGTGTTCAACAGCCACATGTGGCTAGTGCTACCATACAGGACAGATCAGATAGAGAATATTTCCATCATCACAGCTCAGGTAACCTATCCATCTTTTTAAGAAAGGGAAAGAAAATGAAAATAATGTAAGAATGTAGGTATAGTAAAATAATTGGAAACACACATTTTAAGTTTTTGCTCATGTATTTTCTAGTTTTGCTACAACTCACTACAAAGATTATTTGTGTAATAAAACCATGTTTTTAAAGATAAAAAGCTCCAAAATAAAAATGTTTTACTGTACATAAATATTTCAGATTTTTTTCAGGAGGAGAAACTATGGAACAAAATATAAATAGAAGTACTTATTTAAAGTTACTGTTTTGCTGTTTTGAGATTATTCCTTTTCTTTCTTTCTTCACACTTCATTTTTAAAAAAGATTTATTCAGATTCATACTAACACAGTATTGGGATATCCCCCACTACCCAAATGTAACAGTTATATGAAGTTTCTGATTACATACAGGGAAATTATCATAGCTGTAAATTTTTTTGCTTCCTTAAAATGAAGCATTACCTATAAAAGTGAAAAATTATCAAACAGTCATAGTGGTCAGGCAGAGTCTATGTTTCCTCTCTGAACAGTAAATCACAGTGTGTCTCTATTATCAATTCCTTCCAGAGCAGCACATGATTTTTATCACAGATCTTTTACAGCATAGCAACGGTTTCCATGAAACCTAAGGGCATCCATTCATTACTACTGTCAAGCACTTTATAAGCACACCTAAACTGAGGTAATTACCTACTGTCTAATTATTTTTAAAAACTGAGCCGTAGTCAGCTATTCAATTCTGGTTCTGTTATGTGCATCTCTATGAATAAATTTAGAGATAAGTTACAAACTTGTCCCTCAAGCAACAAATGAGTCTATAAAACTCAGGAGGAAAAAAGACAAGACTCAGAAACTTACCAAGTCAGCATATATACCAGACAATGTCATCTCATACAAGAGAGAAATTCAGAATAGAAATCTCAGAGGTGCTAAATATCAAAGAAGAAATTCCTTTCCACTAGTATTATAGATAGAGCAGATCATTTTATCTCAGCCAACATGCTAATAAGAAAGTTAAAAAAAAAAAAAAAAAAGTTAAAACATGGTCACTCACCTCCCTCAACATATTGTTCTCTTTTTCCTTCTGCTCCAATAGGCTTTCTAGGTGGTGGACATGCATCTCTGCCTCTGCCAGTCGTCTTGTTCTCTCATGGTCTTCTTCAGTTGCCTTGGCAGAAAGCCCTTTGCTCTGCAACATCTCCAGAAGCTTCTTGATGGATTCATCCCGAGCATTTAGGGTTTGCTTCTGAGTTTCAATACGCAGCTCCATTTCCTCCAGAGTCTTTCGAAGAAGAAACAGCTCCTTGGCCTGCCGCTCATGCTCAGCATGTAGCCTCTGGAAGTTCTCTTCCGTCAGCTCTGTCACACAAGGTTCACCAGTCCTGCTGCTACTGTCTTGCTGAAACAGCTGATTCAGATCCCTCTGGATCCGCAACTCATCCTGAAGAGCTTGGATTGTCATCTGCATGTGCTAGAAGAAGACAAAACGAAATCCTCAAGTCAGCGTTCCTTCTCAAGTCGCAACAAAGGTGCAGACTCTTTAAGCTTTTGCATGGAGTCAGAAAGTAGTCACAAGGGCTCTCAGAAGCCTGCATTCAGCAAATCAGGATTCACAATATTCCTTTACATTTTCTTAAAAAATAAATGAGATAATCTGCTAAATGTCAGTAGTTCAACTGTTGTTTATTCCCAACAGGAAGCACGATAAATCAGATAAATTGACATATAAGACACATACAAAAAATAACAACAGTCCAAAATTAATACAATGTAATACACAGAAAGTGAAGTTAAAGGGAAAGGAAAGACTAGGAAAATGTACAAGAATGAGAACATCGCTCATTAAAAGACGTCACCACAAAGTACAAAACCTTGTCAAAGGACAAAATGACTATCAAGTATTGTTGTTGTTGTTATGTGCTGTCCAGTCAGAACCGACTCATAGCGACCCCTCCTTGGGTTTCTGAGGCAGTATCGCTACAGAAGTAGATTGCCCCATCTTCCTTCTGAGGAGTGGCTGGTGGGTTTGAACCACCAGCCTTCTGGTTTGCAGTCAAGTGCCTTAGGCACTACGCTACCAGAGCTCCTTTCATGTATTATAAACCTTAAATAAATACTAATATTTAATGAGTACTTTTTCCAGAATATAAATTGAGACTATTCCATTTCTTTAATTTCTTTCTTCACATTTCATTTTTAAAAAGGATCTATCAGATTCATGCTAACAATGTTAGGATATTCTGGAATAAATACTTAACTATTATATAATAGCATTTAATATTTAATAGTAATACAGAATACTTGTTTTATATTCCAGATTGTGCCAAGCACTTTTTATATATTTATTTAATCCACCCAATGACTCAGGTGCTATTATTATTTCCTAAATGAAGGAACTAAAGCTTAGAGGGGTTTAAGTAACTTGACCAAGATCACACAATGATAGCGCTAGCATAGCAATGGTTTCCATGAAACCTAAGAGCATCCATTCATTACTGCTGTCAAGCACTTTATAAGCACACCTAAACTGAGGTAATTACCTACTCTCTAATTATTTTTAAAAACTGAGCCGTAGTCAGCTATTCAATTCTGGTTCTGTTATGTGCATCTCTATGAATAAATTTAGAGATAAGTAACAAACTTGTCCCTCATGCAACAAATGAGTCTGTAAAACTCAGGAGGAAAAAACACTGAAAGGAATATTCCCAGTACACTGAAAGTGGTACTAACCAAAGGAAATAGGAAACAACCAAAGGTTTCAAGAAGACAGAATACGTGAACTTCTTTTACAAGGAAGATCACGATTTAAATGACTAATGAAATGAAGATGTTAATGCAAGTTAAACGGCTTGAGGGGCCTTATCTTTAGCCCGTATCCCTAATGAAGGCATATGAACCTTTAATCTGAATGGATAAGCAAATTGCAGCACACTGTACAGAGAATTCCAAAAGAACATTACATCGAGAATCTTATTTTTATGAATAAGAAGCAACAACAAGAAATCATTTTTTGTATTTTAGATAAGGCATGTCTGTGTGCCACCGTGAGAGGACACTAAAACATAATCAGAGGACATGAGTTTGTGTTCCAACTCCCATATTGACTAGCTATGTAATTCTGAGTTTCAGATTCCTCATATTTAAAATAAGTGCTAGCACCTGCACTATTTTATCACAGTTACTGTATCATGGAATTCTTTCTGATGTGTGGTTTAAAAATATACCTTGTTATGAAACGCTGGCAGGCTGCAAAACAGCAGTGTAATAAATGTCTCAAGTAAATGATACAGCAGGTATACAAAGATGAACATACAAAGATTTTTTTTGTTCATAATACTGAAAAAGTAGAAACAATCTAATGTATATGAATAGATGATGGGTAAAGTAATTGAGAAATGTTCACACAACATAATACTATTGAGTAGTTAAAAATAATAATGTACTCAAAACACTAAAAATAGAACAAGCATATGTGCCGGCAATTCACTTCTAGGAATATGCCCCAAAGACTTGAAACCAGGAACTCAAAACAGATACACGTGCACACAACATTCAATGCAGCACTATTCATAATAGCCAGAATGTATAAAGAACCTAAATGTCCATCAATGAATGAATGGATAAACAAAACATGATACAAACTTAAAATGGAATACTACTCAGCCAGCAGGAATAATGAAGTCTTGATAAATGCTACAATATGGATGGAGCTTGAAGACACTATGCTGAGTGAAATAAATCAATCACAAATGGCCAAATCTGGTGTAATCTCAAAGTATCTTAGTGGTTACTAGGACAGGAGAAAAGGAGTATGGGGAGCTTATTACTTCTGCAGTACTGACTTTTGGTTTACGGTGATGGAAAACTTTCACTGAATAAGGGTAGAGTTGTGCAGCTAAAAATATAATTGCTGATGTTGTTGTTGTTGTTGTTATGTGCCATTGAGTCGGACCCAACTCATAGCGACCCCACCTTGGGTTTCCAAGGCAGTATCACTACGGACGTAGATTGCTCAACCTTCCTTCCGAGGAGTGGGTGGAGGGTTTGAACCACCAGCCTTCTGGTTAGCAGTCAAATAAATGCCTTACGCACCATGCTACCAGAGCTCCCTAATTGCTGGTAGTAAGTTGTAAACCTATAAAAAGTTGAATTGGCAAAACGTGTGTGATAGATATATTTATAACAATGATTAAAAAGAAAAGAGTAACTGCTGAGGTTGCTTATGTACAATCAAACACCTCATGAGATTTGGTATCTTGGTTTCAAGGTTTAGGGCACAGCTTGATGGGACATTTCAGTTAAATGGACTAACAACATGCTCAGTACTGGCAGAGTTCCGGCAAGATGGCGGACTAGGCAGAAGGACTGCACAGAGCCTCTTCAACAAAGAAAAGGGAAACCAATTAACACAGACACAGAAGATAATCTTGGACCACTGAGCCTTGAAGGGAAGGATACAGAAGTGGACTAAACCCCAACTAGCAGAAGAATTTGCATGAAAATGCCAAAAAAAAGGAGACATACGGAACTGCGGTCTGACAGCAAACTGAGCGACCCTGACAGTACAGGCGGCTTGGAGATTCCTGACTGGTGATAGGACCTAAGAATTAACCTAAAAATCACCCTGATAGCCAGGGACTGCATGGATTGTGCACGGTGGCTGGGGAACAAACAGAGAAGGTGAAGAGAAAGGTGGGCTGAGTTGTGGACTTTTGCCGGTCCCGAGAGCACCGCCATTTTGTAGGTTTAAAAAGCAGCTTAACTATTTTGGATATTTAAAGAGACAGCGCTCTCGCAGATTCCTGTGGTGGTAGGACGTAAGAATTAACCTAAAGATCACCCTGCTAGGCAGGGACTGCACCAAGGACTGTGCACGTGGCTAGGGAACAAATGGAGAAAGTGAAGAGAAAGGTGGGCTGAGTTGTGAACTTTTCCCAGTCCACAGGACGCCGCCATTTTGATGGTTTAAAAAGCAGCTTGACTATTTTGGATATTTAAAGAGACAGCGCTCTCGCAGATTCCTGTGGTGGTAAGACTTAAGAATTAACCTAAAAATCACCCTGCTAGGCAGGGACTGCACAGAGGACTGTGCACGGTGGCTGGGGAACAAA